TCATTTGCGTTTCCAGCTTCCATTTACGTTCTCTCGTCTAACTTTATCTCAATTTAAAAGAGGCTGTCCTTGTCCACCTTGTCAGTTCCCCCTCGATATCTTATGTTGCGATCATGTTACCGCCATTTCTTTTCCTGGAAGGTTGTGAGGTCTAGCTCCTTCACCTGTCATTGGAGCTATATCTTATTGACCAGCTCGCAAAGCATACTAGCATTAGTCATTAGCATAGTTTAGGACTGAAGTAAACTTTCAGTGTACCAGTATATGCACCGCGGCCCATTCTCTGGATTTGCCACTACGTAAAAGCTACAACTGTTTTTCCCTAAATAGAAACGAGCTCGAGCAACCCACTTCATCTATAAAGGCAGATGCATAGAAAGTATCAACATCACTGTGTTTATGCTTGTTTTAACAGTCGTATTTAAACAACTTGATTGATATAAATGACAAACTGAATACACCCCTCGGTGAATATAATACATATATATCTCCCATTCAGGTTGTTTCTACTCATGCTGACCAAGCTGAAAATATACCAAGGATTCAAATCATATATTAATTATCCTAATGATTCAAATCATATATTAATAACCCTTCGTTTAATATTCGAGTAAGCTAACAAACAATAAATCAAATTATCACACCACAGCCAGTTGCTTAATTTTAACAATAATGGCGTCGACAATTAAATGGTAGTTAAATTGTGCGTCAATGTACTATAAATCGATAAATTAACTAACAGTAACTCAATATTGTATGTGGAAGAAGGTGGACAACTTCTTACAGTTCATCTATAAAGGCCGATGCATAGAAAATATCAATATGACTGCTTATGCTTGTTTTAAGTCGTATTTAGTCATTGGCATAGGAAGAAACTCCCCAGAAATAGGTTGCTGTTTTCTAGTGCAGGGCTGGGAACATCTTCAAGAGTCAACCAATTTAACTGCTGGGTCTGGGGTCAATACTTCTCTTGTTAATCTCTCTCGTCAATACTTCTGAACATTTATGAACCTGGTGAAATTGTGTATGTGAAACTGGTTTAACCTGAATGACAAACAATCACAAGCTAGGGAAAAAAATCACCCGGTACAGAGGAGCTACAATTCCGCTATCAATATTAAAATGAAGCTCCCCGAATTAATTTCACATTTAGTTACATTTTAATGTAAAGGCAACAAAATACTAACACTAATTTATATTCATCAAATTAAAATCATCCGTTGAAACCCTAATTATCAAAAAAAAAGCTCTAAGCAGAATAGACGAGAGGCAGGATGTTGGACTTAATTGAAGTCCGCCAAGGGCAATTACTGATGACTTTCCCCGGGATGCAGCCCTCAACAAGTATCTAACTCCTGCATACATATTTACTGCTATAGGTGAACAGATGCATGAAGTGAAGGGAAACGTGTCTGTGGAAACCATCTGTCTTTCCAGGGATCCCGAATCCTCGGTTTTGAGTCCATGTCAGGTTATCTTGAGATGATTTCGGGGCTTAGCGTCCTCGCGACCCGGTCCTCGACCAGGCCTCCGTTTTGTTACCCCCCCCCCCCCCTCCAGGAAGTACCCCGTAGCAACTGTCTAACTCCCAGGTACATATTTACTGCTATGTAACAGGGGCATCAGGGTGAAAAACATTTTTGCCCATTTGTCTCCGCCTCGGGGATCGAACCCGGAACCTCAGGACTACGAATCCGAAGCCTGTCCACCCACCTGTCAGGCGCCTTAAAACATGTCGCTGACTATTATGCCATTTGGTGCAGAATATTCAAGACCAAAAGTTCTTTTACATAATTCAGGATACCAGCACGATAGTAGAAAGCCATAAGATGAGCAGATGACCGGTGTCATAAGAGGTAGACTTACCGAGGACTTTAAAAGAGACAACAGACTTAAAACAGTGGTCACGCCAAATTTCCGATCGTGAAAATCAGGATATTCTACGAGGCGCGAGACTGTCAGCTGTATATCTGTTCTATCAAATGCCCATTTGTCTCTTGTGTAGCCAATATGTAAAATAGCCACAAGATCAACCTCAAACTGTAATGTTTCTTTCACTAAAGTTGCTCGAAAACTGGAAACAAGCCATAAATACACAAAATATATTATCATGCAAATTCAAACACGGAATAAACTTATTTTACACAATTAATTTAACAAACACTTAGAAAATACATATAACATGCTTCCGAATTATTAACGTGAAATATTTTAGAATGACGCTGCTTATATCAAAAACATGAAAATAAAATTGTGATAAATAAAAATAAGGAATAATACATGCACTTTATTGATATGCTGGTGTACAATAACTGAACACATAATAGATAAAAAAAAAAGCTTGCATGTCCACCACAATAGCCATAAAAGTACCTGCTTCATTCTTAACAATTAACCAAAGTGAATAACAATGATCTGCCAGTGCAATACTTACATTTAATCATTAACATTACTAAGCTTTACATGTCAATATAAATTGTATTATTAACTTGCACAAAAAAATTAGCCATTAAGCAACATAAATATAGCAAGTCTGGAGAACAAGTAATGTCACTGACTGATGTCAAAGTACATTAAATGTTACTTAATATATATACAGTAACAAAATAAACTTATTTCATTAAAAGTTCATTCTTTCTCGCATATAGATATGAATTAATTAAACAAACTGAAACCCTGATCTACTAAACAAATGAAAAAGTTCACTTTAAAGATAAAAGACTACTTACAACCTTATGTAATAAGAAAAAAATTACTTTACAGTACATCAATCAAGAAAGAATACACCAGCATCAACACTTATTTTCAAATTCTCATTTACTGTGATTAAGAGAAATTCAACACTACATTTTTTACTGATTCCTTCCCATCAGTTGCGGCTGGCGGACATAAGGCACACCACCAGCCAATACGGCTCACCATAGGCGACACCTTTATTGTGATTTGAAAATCAAGCATGGCTGTCACTATTAATAACAATAACTGGATAAATTGAGTGGGTGCAGCAGCAGCATCACCTGGGGGTGGGTGGTGCAGCAGCAGCATCACCTGGGGGTGGGTGGTGCAGCAGCAGCATCACCTGGGGGTGGGTGGTGCAGCAGCAGCATCACCTGGGGGTGGGTGGTGCAGCAGCAGCATCACCTGGGGGTGGGTGGTGCAGCAGCAGCATCACCTGGGGGTGGGTGGTGCAGCAGCATCACCTGGGGGTGGGTGGTGCAGCATCACCTGGGGTGGGTGTAGCAGCATCACCTGGAAGTGGGTGGTGCAGCAGCAGCATCGCCTGGGGGTGGGTGGTGCAGCAGCATCACCTGGGGGTGGGTGGTGCAGCATCACCTGGGGTGGGTGTGTAGCAGCATCACCTGGGAGTGGGTGGTGCAGCAGCAGCATCGCCTGGGGGTGGGTGGTGCAGCAGCAGCATCACTGGGGTGGGTGGTGCAGCATCACCTGGGGGTGGGTGTAGCAGCATCACCTGGGGGTGGGTGGTGCAGCAGCAGCATCACTGGGGTGGGTGGTGCAGCATCACCTGGGGGTGGGTGGTGCAGCATCACCTGGGGGTGGGTGGTGTAGCATCACCTGGGGGTGGGTGGTGCAGCATCACCTGGGGGTGGGTGTAGCAGCATCACCTGGGGTTGGGTGTAGCAGCATCACCTGGGAGTGGGTGGTGCAGCAGCAGCATCACCTGGGGTGGGTGGTGCAGCATCACCTGGGGGTGGGTGGTGTAGCATCACCTGGGGGTGGGTGTAGCAGCATCACCTGGGGGTGGGTGTAGCAGCATCACCTGGGAGTGGGTGGTGCAGCAGCAGCATCACTGGGGTGGGTGGTGCAGCATCACTGGGGTGGGTGGTGCAGCATCACCTGGGGGTGGGTGTAGCAGCATCACCTGGGAGTGGGTGGTGCAGCAGCAGCATCACCTGGGGGTGGGTGGTGCAGCAGCATCACCTGGGGGTGGGTGGTGCAGCATCACCTGGGGGTGGGTGGTGCAGCATCACCTGGGGTGGGTGGTGCAGCATCACCTGGGGGTGGGTGGTGCAGCATCACCTGGGAGTGGGTGTAGCAGCATGGACACATCCCAGTGTGCCCATGGGTTCAGTTTTCAATAGTCCACACATGGGTTGAGCTACATTCTTATAAACAATAAATAATAATTTACTAATAGTATATTACCAAATACGTTTGGCAATGTATTTAGTATGTTTTCTGACCAAAACATCGTAGTTATTTACGATCGTATCTGAATTGTGAACAAGTTAACAACTTTGCACTTTAACGAGTTATCACGTTATTACTTTAGGATAACCAACAGGTTATCCTACATCAATGAAAGAGGTCGAAGCCATTAGTGTACCGGTGTAAGCCATAATACAGATGGTGAGAAGCCATGTGAGAGTTAACTATCGCCTGACCTAACGACTGCCCGCTACAAGATGACGGGAGGAGAGGGGAATAAAATACATAATAATAAGTGCATGCACGTTGGTGGCGGGTAGACAGGCATATCAGGTGAAGGAGCACAAACAAGGTGAAGCAAGAGACGTGGTGGATCATGCAGAGCCGGGTCTTGACAGCCTCTTCCTGCTCGCTGGTGCTCTCATGCTGCACAAATTGCTCCTCAAAAAATGGCATTTGCTTACGCTCAATGTCTCTCCCCGGCAGGGCAGGAGGGACGCGTATAACACCTCCTTCCTCGGTACTCAGTATCTGTGGGAGGCCGGTAGAGGTGGTGGAGGGATAAAGGGATGTAGTGTGAGGGGTGTTGTGGGAGAGAGGGAGGTGTGGACCACTGCCCGTCACGCTCAACAAGACACTCGCCATCACCGCCATCTGTCGCCTCGCTCCCTCACCACACCGACGGCCATACCCCTTTACTATCTCTTAGATTTCAACTTTATCTCCTCAAATCTCATTTATGTACTCAAAAATGTGCAGATTAGAGGAGTATTAGTGGTAGGAAATGGTGAGTTTTGAGGGTTTGGAGGGTGTGATGTGTAGTGAGGTAATTTGAAAGGTGGGCCACCAGCGGTGCTCACCATAACAACCTGGCAGGAGCACACGGCTCCTGTGGCTCCTCCTCGCTCTTTTGACTCTCCCGCCGCTGTCTCCTCTGGCTCCTCACTCTCCTAGTCTCCTTAATAGAGCGGCTGCTCATTCTACGTCTTGTGTTGAGCCTAACGGTGCGCCTCCTCCTGCACCCTAGTGTCTCCTGCTGCTCACTCTGTCTCGTCTGCTGCTCAACATCACCTCAAGATGGGTATCCTTGAGAGGATCGGGGAGATCGAGAAGGAGATAGCCCGGACTCAGAAAAATAAAGGTAGGCATCAGACGAGTGTCACCCTGACGCAGTAAGTGTTGTCAAGAGTTATAGTCGACTCCACGCTTGAGCTTTGACACACACGAGGTTGTGACTCTTTCTTGTCAACTCCTTGTACTCTCTGGTCAGCTTGTAGTACATTATTATATCATGGATTTTACTACTCTTGAAGCTGCATTCATAAGGCTAAAGGCTATAGCCAGCCCAAGTGTTAGGTAGTCAAGGTTCCTGTTGAGAAAAATGGCTTTGGTAAGTTAACTGGAAGTGCTCTGCCAAACCTGACCTAATATAATAGTGCATTAATTAATAATAAAAATACCTTGGTAAAACATACGCTATATTCGGATACATCAAGACTGTCCGTTGGCTAATTCTTTCAGGTTGACCAAAGGTACCGCTCAACTTTGATCCAGTTGAGCAAGGCCTTACTGTTTTGTATAACCCCTTAAATTAGATGAGGAAAATTATTTTGTAAGAAACATGCAGTGAATCATGGGCACATTAATGTTATAATAATCTAACAGGGTTCTATTACTGTGAATACCTTTCATGTTCCAATATGTTCTTGGAGGATATTTGAAGAGTTCTTGGCATTTTCGTGGTGATGTTCTTTGCACTTGTACAGACACTGTAGGTTTTTTGTGTGACGATGTCTGCAGACCAGTGACTTTGCTCTAAAGATGTTGCCTTAACCCTTAAAGAGCAGTTATTATCAGATGTTAGTCTCTGGACCAATGTAATTAATGTAATTTTTTAAATTTAGGTATTATGACCTGTTGTTATTCAAATTATGTAAATGTAGTTGTAATCAATCTACTAAATATAAATGTAATGTAGTTAACCAAGACCCATGAAAATTTTTTGCCATCATTATGCAATTGGTTTTTTAATCCTACAGTTCATTTAATTAAATTGATACTTGAATTGGATATTAGCACTCAAATGGGATATTATTTAACTTGGTGTTACATAGCCTAACCAAATAGTGAGCATTACCTCGGAAAAATAATAATAAAAAAAGTTGACGGGGGAATAAAGTATTTAGTGAGGAGACCCCTCAGTCAGTTGTCTTGTTCACTTTCTAAATAGTTTGAGAAGATTACATGACAGTTTTGAGTAGCTGCTTTTGAACAAAGTATTATTTTACTTCAACTTTCAGTATTACTGTACTTATGAATCATATTTTTACACCTGTAGGTTTTTACACCTGTAGGGAGCCGGTTGGCCGAGCGGACAGCACACTGGATTTGTGATCCTGTGGTCCTGGGTTCGATCCCGGGTGCCGGCGAGAAACAATGGGCAGAGATTCTTTCACCCTATGCCCCTGTTACCTAGCAGTAAAATAGGTACCTTGGAGTTGGTCAGCTGTCACAGGGTGCTTCCTGGGGATGGAAGCCTGGTCGAGGACCGGGCCACGGGGACACTAAAGCCCCAAAATCATCTCGAAATAACCTGCTGTTCTAATCATAATTATAACAACAATTTATAATTCATGTTCAATATACATTGTTTATACTGTACTATAACAGTTTGTTTAACCTTAAACCCTTTGTCTGCATAGTTAGGTGTCTGAATTGTGTATTAATGTGTGAAGTGCATTGAATATTAAATTTAAGAAAAACTTTTTTTTTTATAGAAAACTTGAATGACCTGGGAGTCTTGTAGATTTCATTTCATAAACAATGGGATTGATTACTGCATGTAAATGAATTTTGCCTTCTGTTTTAAAGACAAAATACATACAGAATCATTACCGACCACTATTTACCAGCAACTAAAATGTAAATGAACATCTTACTTAACTAATTGCCCTAAGTTACCATTCACACCCAGGCCTGACTCTGCTTAAAATACAGGCACCAATTTTCAGGTCTGTAACCTTAAGCATTAAAACACTAAAGCATTTCATTCATTCATTTAATTATGCACCCCATACTTGTCCCGTGTGTGGTGGTGGAAAGAGTAATTGGTATAAATATAAATTTAGAAACATTTATCGACCATCGCAGTCACAGAGGTTTACGGTTATAAAATGTTTTACTAAACATTAAAAATCCATGGTATTTCGAGCAAATCTAAAAAACTAACGTGTGTGTGTTTATTCAGTATTTAAATTTTAGGGTAATATTTCTGGTAGGGCCCCTTCAGTGACTCCTTGAGATAAGGGTGTCTTAGGGGAGAGGGATCAGGCATTTGAGAACCATTCTTGCCTACTATGTACTACTACTCTCTACTACTACTACTACTATGCAGTACAGGGAGCCGGTCGGCCAAGCGGACAGCACGCTGGACTTGTGATCCTGTGGTCCTGGGTTCGATCCCAGGCGCCGGCGAGAAACAATGGGCAGAGTTTCTTTCACCCTATGCCCTTGTTACCTAGCAGTAAAATAGGTACCTGGGTGTTAGTCAGCTGTCACGGGCTGCTTCCTGGGGGTTGAGGCCTGGTCGAGGACCAGGCCGCAGAGACACTAAAAAGCCCCGAAATCATCTCAAGATAACCTCAAGATACTAGGAACAAAGACCAGAATCTAGCACTCACCTTAAAGGGAGGGAAGTTGGTGTTTACACAGATCCACTTATTACTATCTTCACACACACACACTTTCCACCACACACCACCCATCCAATAATATGAGTTCAATGCATTTTATATTTTCATTTAAGATAATTAATTTTTGTGGAGGATATCGGGAGGCAAACTATTTAAACTTTTAATTTTGTTAACACTAGTTGTAGGTATATTTTTGTCTTGCTACCCTTACCTGGAGCTAAAAAAATATAATTTTTAGTTAGAAGTGATAGAAAGTGATATGAAAAGATTGGTAAAAATGGTAAAAAGTTTCGTTGACAATACTAGACCTTATAATTGTCACATGATTTTGTAAGCAATGCTATAGACTGTTAAAATTCCTAGTCTTGTAGTTCTCTTGGGGTAGTTTGATTTCATATATATACTGTATTTTCTTTTAGTATAATTTATCAAAATTTTAATGTACTTTGCAGTTTTATAAATACAGTACCTGTATTTCAATACTGTATTGTTTGTATCACGAGATAAGCTGATGCAGTACAGTACAGGTATTGAAAACCAGATAAATCTTCTGTGATATCCATCATGACGTTAAGTACTGTATAATTGAAACTAATGTATTATAACTATGAACATTTACAGCCAGTTGAACTAGTGTAATTAAAATGATTCTTATCTTTGCAGCCACTGAATACCACTTAGGTGTGCTGAAGGCTAAACTTGCCAAGTATCGCACACAGCTCCTTGAACCACAGGGCAAGAAAGGGGAGAAAGGTGAGGGTTTTGATGTTATGAAAAGTGGAGATGCCAGAGTGGCACTTATTGGCTTCCCATCTGTTGGCAAGGTAAGAGATATTGAACATTGAATTATTCTTGCAAACTTAAATAGTGTTCCTCCTATTACAGTATAATAGCTATTAAGGGAAGCATGGCATCAAAATGTAAGAGGAACAGGAAAATTTTATACTGAAAATTGAATTGCCATTTATTAGAAAAATACACTTAAGAAGATTGAATGTGTGTAGTCTAAAGTATTGTATTAATTTGCTATTCATTCTAATTGAAACCATGGATAGGTCTACACTATTTTGCTGCCATTTTATCAATAGTGCTAAATTATAATAAGGCTTGCAAGATTTACTTCTTAAATTTGATATTTTAACAATCTACAGAATAATGTGTGTTTTGTTTTATTGTCTGCAGTCCACTCTGCTGAGCACATTGACCAACACTCAAAGTGTAGCGGCATCGTATGAATTCACAACACTGACCTGCATCCCAGGTGTTATTGAATATAAAGGTGCCAACATCCAGTTATTAGATTTGCCTGGTATCATTGAAGGCGCCTCTCAAGGAAAAGGTAGAGGTAGGCAGGTAAGAATCAAGTTTTTGTTGGTATTTATGTATACCCTGAAAGGATGCCTTATAGTGTTCGCTTTTTTAAAATGTAGTGGCCTTGCAATATATATAAAAGTTAAAATATGTATGCATTGTGGTTATTGGGCCATGTAAACCTGTGGTTATTGGGCCATGTAAACCTGTGGTTATTGGGCCATGTAAACCTGTGGTTATTGGGCCATGTTAACCCGTGGTTATTGGGCCATGTAAACCCGTGGTTATTGGGCCATGTAAACCTGTGGTTATTGGGCCATGTAAACACGTGGTTATTGGGCCATGTAAACCCGTGGTTATTGGGCCATGTAAACCCGTGGTTATTGGGCCATGTAAACCCGTGGTTATTGGGCCATGTAAACCTGTGGTTATTGGGCCATGTAAACCCGTGGTTATTGGGCCATGTAAACCCATGGGTATTGGGCCACATGATGCTCTTGGTGGGAAAATTTAGAACCCTTAAAAAAAAAAGACTTGCGGTTCAACAAGTATAGTTGTTCCAAAATTTCTTCATGCATTCCCTGATGCCAAAGGATAATGCCAAGTTTCTGAAGGATACCCTAGAAAGTTTAACAGTACAGTAGTGGGAGCTACAGTATGCTTTATGTTTGTATTTAGTAAGATGTAATGGACAAAGTGTTCTTAAGTTTTTTTTTTTAATGTATCTTGCAAATAATAGCCATAACTAATTTTTATTTGGAATTGTTTGCAAATGATTGACCCGTCATGTGAGTCAATATGAAGATTGCATAATAAATGAAATTTGTGATCTTTTAAATTGTTGGAGGAGGATTGGTCGTGATAATTCCGATGTACTTGTACCTAGATATGCTTCAAGTTTATCATGAAAATATTTGACTACACTATTTGACCTGGTATGGTAACACACCTGTATATACATTATAGTGTGTGTAGGAACTCCAAAAGTTTTGATTTTATTTTATAGATTTTTTTCTATACGGGTGCTTTGATGGTTTGAATGAAATCTCCCGTGCCCTAAATTGGCTTCTCTCCATATAGTTTGTTCAAGAAAGTTCACAATGTAATACGGGTTATTCAGAATTGAGATGTTCATAATGACTGAGGATACTTTCCTTGCTTGGGTGCATTCTAAACTAGTCTTGTTTTGTTATGTTTTTATTGTACCATTTTGATTATAAATTACTTCTTGCTTTGCCCATTCTACATTGTTCAAGATTATGTGTGTAACAAGAGATCAACATTTACTAGCAAATGAAAAGGAATACTCAGGTTAGTTATGCTTTTAGTGGAAAGATGGTTCCCAAACCCAACCTACCTCTAGCCTAGAAACACAATTGAAAGTGAATGTGGGCAAAAGTAGAGTTATGGTGATTAAGAGATAAGTAGTGAGGGGAAAATAAATTGGATAATGAAGTTCTGGAAGCAGTCAATCAATTTTAGTACCGAGGATGTCGGATAAAGGAGGAATTTGCGCAAGGAAAGTTAAGCTTGTCGGGAGTCTGGGATGCGAAGTGTCAGATCAAGGAAAGTATTGATTGGAAAAAATAAGAGAGAGATAGTTGCTGCCAGTGTTATGGCCTACCCTTGTGTACTGATGGGCTAGTGCCCACTGTTGTGCACTGATTGGAGGTGACTGTGTGGTACGAACCTGAAAAATGAAGATTTAGAGCAGTTGATATGAGCAATTTGAGAAGTATGTGTTAGGTGTTAAGAGGATAGAAAAGAATGAAACTATTATGATGGTCTTTTTAAAGTTGATAAATACTTAGAAAGCAGACTATACCATGATGGTGTGAACACTGAACAAATAGATATGAATATTAAGGTAAGAGGAAGGGAAGAAACCCAGTTGATGATGGAGGAATTGAGTTTGAACAATGCATAGACATAGTAAAGGACAAAACAGACTGGAAGGGGTTTGCTAAGAAGGTGTAATTACCTAAGTGTAATTACCTAAGTGTAGTTACAGGATGAGAGCTACGCTCGTGGTGTCCCGTCTTCCCAGCACTCTTTGTCATATAACGCTTTGAAACTACTGACGGTCTTGGCCTCCACCACCTTCTCACTTAACTTGTTCCAACCGTCTACCACTCTATTTGCGAAGGTGAATTTTCTTATATTTCTTCGGCATCTGTGTTTAGCTAGTTTAAATCTATGACCTCTTGTTCTTGAAGTGCCAGGTCTCGGGAAATCTTCCCTGTCGATTTTATCAATTCCTGTTACTATTTTGTATGTAGTGATCATATCACCTCTTTTTCTTCTGTCTTCTAGTTTTGGCATGTTTAATGCTTCTAACCTCTCCTCGTAGCTCTTACCCTTCAGTTCTGGGAGCCACTTAGTAGCATGTCTTTGCACCTTTTCCAGTTTGTTGATGTGCTTCTTAAGATATGGGCACCACACAACAGCTGCATATTCTAGCTTTGGCCTAACAAAAGTCATGAACAATTTCTTTAGTATATCGCCATCCATGTATTTAAATGCAATTCTGAAGTTAGAAAGCATAGCATAGGCTCCTTGCACAATATTCTTTATGTGGTCCTCAGGTGATAGTTTTCTATCTAGAACCACCCCTAGATCTCTTTCTTTATCAGAATTCTTTAAAGATTTCTCACATAATATATAGGTTGTGTGGGGTCTATGTTCTATTCCACATTCCATAACATGTTCCATAACGTGTGATCATATGTTTATGCTATACGGTAAGAATTCTGTAATCTGCATTCCTGTAACCCAAATCTGAGTAATCCGAATGAATTTGTGTTCATCAAATGCAGGTGAACAGCAAGAGTAAGCAGGTAAATTATGGAAATGCGAGGGCAAATGGTGGGTAAAACCATGTTGTGGTACAAAAATATTTGCAAATTTGTTAAATTTTGGACAGTCTTTGTAAACAAATTTGGCTAATTTGAATATTCAGCTAACTCGAATGGGGGGGTGAGCCTTGTATGATTCAGATTACTGAGCATAGGCAGTCCATGGCAATTCCTGAGCTGCAATGTAGCCTGATCCTACGAAGCGGTGAGATTTTGCTGTTGATTATTGCTCAAGTGTGGTATGGCGTGTTTTATCCTTGATGCTATACAGTGTAAAGGATATAAAAAAAAATGGCTCACCTGAGGGGATTTCAATGGCCTGATGTGTTGGTCCAGCACTTGATGGTACAGTATTTAAGTTTCGCTCAAGGAGCCGCTGGGAGCCCACCAAAATGTGTTTCATTACATTTCAGCCCAACCACTTGGGCTGGATGGTAGAGTGAAGGTCTCGCTTTAAGCTGGTTGGCGTTCAATCCCCAACCGTCCAAGTGGTTGGACACCATTCCTTACCCCCCGTCCCATTCCAATTCCTTATCCTGACCCCTTCCCAGTGCTATATAGTCATAATGGCTTGGCGCTTTCCCCTGATAATTCCCCTCCCTCATTACATTTCATTTCAATCAATTGTTACATTTTGTATTTTTTTTGCAAGATCTTTACTTGTATAACAGCACAATGGGTATTTCAGTGTACATTTATAATTATATTTTGTATGAGTGTACAGTATTTCGGTGATGTCTGATCAACGAATAAACCAGCCCAATATGCTGGATGTCGAGCTGCTTTTACCACTGATACGTAGTGATTCATTACATCTGCAGGAGTCTCGTGTACAGTACTTGTACTTGGTCACAGATCATTTTGGAGGTGCAACAATATAATTAATGGTTTGTTGAATTGGGGTTTAAATTTTTTTTTTTATCTTTGCTTGTGGATTTAAGTGTTTATTTAACAGCCTTTCAGATAGCATGTGCTTCATGGGATTTGAGGGTTTTCCAGTTGATATTATGATTTTATCAGTTTTCCATCTTGCTAAGGTTTCTTGTTTAAATCTTGGATAACACCATGTACAGTAACACAATTTTTGTGTTACATGATTTTCTGAATGCTTTTGCCTCCTGATTATTCTCCCTCAAACTTTGCTTTGACCTTTGCCTCAGACAGCTTAGGAAAGACACCATGGAGGTACTTGAAGGCTGCCGATTCCTTATCTAGAGCTGTAACACACAAGTCAGTAGCCTTCTTGGTTATCTTGATGATTTCGGGCCTTAGCGTCTTCGTGGCCTGGTCCTCGACCAGGCCTCCTTTTTGCTACACATTCCCAGGAAGCAGCCCCTAGCAGCTGTCTAACTCCCAGGTACCTATTTAATGCTAGGTGAACAGGGACTTCAGGGTGAAAGAAACTGCCCATTTGTTTCCGCCTCCACTGGGGATTGAACCAGGAACCTCAGGACTACGAATCCGAAGTGCTGTCCACTCAGCTGTCAGGCCTTTAGGTCCTTCAAGACGTCTTCCCTAAGGTGTTGAGGCAAAGGTCAGAGTAAAGTTTGTGGGGGAATAATGGCCATTTTCTATGTTTTAAGAGGCAAAGACAATCAGAAAATAAGAGTATCTAATTTCTTTTTTTTTATACAGTAATTAACACGGCTTTTAACTGTTTTGCTAAATGTTCATTAGTATACGAATATAGCCACAACCTTTGTTTTTCAGGTTATTGCTGTGGCCCGAACTGCAGATTTAGTGATAATGATGGTGGATGTTACTAAAGGGGAGGTACAGAAGGAGCTTCTTACTGCAGAACTGGAAGCTGTTGGTATCAGACTTAATAAGAAGAAACCTGGTATTTACTTTAAGGTATATCTTACTTTAAGGTTAAGCGAATTTTAACTGTTAGAACTTTTTTTTTTTTTCAGTTTGGACTTGAGCATGTGAAAAACAAGTACTGCATCTGTTTTTGTCAAGTAGCCAAGGAAACTTTCTAGTGCTAAACATTGTCTATTTTATTAAGTGCTGAAAACTAGCATTGGCTCCCATGTATGTTGATAAGTTTTAGGTACACCGTACTTGCTTGGGATACCTTCTGTTTACAATTAAATCACAAGGATTTGATGAATATATTAATAAATATTTATGCCATATGATAAAATTGAACCAGCATCCCTGAACGTTTTGGACATGTTATGACTGCAGCTTGAGTGCGGCTCTTGCCCTCGTCACAGTTAATAAAAAATCACAGTAGCCTATCAACATCAATAATATCTAGGGTTTAGAAAAACTGTGCTAAAATAAGAACACCAGTTTACTCTGGTAGCACATCAAATAATAATATAAAAGTACTGTACACAGTCAATCACCTATTAATTGCTATTAGGCTAATCAACACTGACACATTGTAAAACGGGAAAAATTGCTTGGTAATTAAATATATGTATACCAAACACAGTAGCAACACCCAAGCACAAACAAAAAAACAACATCCACTTAACTGAGAGAGATGACCAAAAACCAACAACTTCAACCCGCAACTAATTTGCACTTCACTCACTGACTCTCCGTGGGATTGATAAGGCTCACAGTCGCCAAATACGACTGGCAAAATATCTTGGCTGCCACACTCCTAAACTAAGATACACACTCCCAAACATTATTAAACACACGTATGAAATATTTTAGACTCTCTGGGACAATATTCCCAGTACTTCAGCTTCACAAAAAGAAAACAATAGTTAAGGAATGACAATACAGAATTAGTAACAGTGACGCCCATACTAACGGACGAGTAATTTCTGTCTTATACGGTGTCCACTTATGCAGCCACGCATCACTGACTACTCTCGTACAGTAGATTTAGTTTCCTTGGTTTGCTTTTCCAAGGCTCATTTTGTCAGGTCATCCAGTGTTTTAAAATCTAGCCAGATTGTAGTCTACCCCCAAGTCCTTGATGTTGCTAAGTTTGTAGTTTTACCTGCTATATTTTTTAGTGTCTTGAGCTGATATCAAGGCTCAAGTGTTTTGGTCTGACAAGGTCCTGGCAGTTCATTTTCTTTAAGCAGTCACTAGTTTTGTTGCACCAATGCTTTGAGGTGTTTTTTTTCTAAAATTTGTGATTGATCTCTGGTTCCCTTACTGCTCTCACCTCATAGAATAAGACATATTCTGGTCCTGGATATCGCCTGTTTAGCGACAAATGATTTTTAGTAGCCTGTTGTGTTGTGTTAAATATGGTGAGACCAGAGTCAAGCTCAGGGTGCTACTGGGGCCTGCCAGAAAAGGGTGTTTCAATGTATTAATTATCTGATGTTTATCAACAGAAGGTTATGACTAGATTTTTTGAAAAACTTTTACTGTATTCCTTTGGGTACAGTATAGACACATACCACAGGGTGAAGATTAATAAGTCTTTGGGGCAGCTCGGCAAAACTTAAGAATTCCTGGTATAGATAATTTGCAAGATTTAATTTCTCAAAATATTATTCAAATGTATTCATGTGTTTAATAATGCTGCCTCTATAACATAAAGTGACTGTCATTTGTCCTTAGATTGGTGAATATCAATTAGTGATTGTAATTATAATTGTGTAATTTAGCTTGAATTTTCTATTTTAATGATGGTGTTTAAATTGTAAATATTTTTTAACAGCAAAAGAAAGTTGGTGGCATAAAATTTAATGCAACGTGCACACTCACAAAGATTGATGAGAAAATGGTGCAGATGATTCTACATGAATACAAGATCTTCAATGCTGAGGTGAGAACAGGCTACTTGACCATCTTGGTATTGCTGTTGATTAGTGGCTCACAAGCATTTTGTATTTATACAGGGTACTTTCTTCCAGATATATTGGTAGGTTGCATACTAACTTCCAGATCTATCAGCTGGTCACATACTCCTTTCCAGTTGTACCAGCTGGTCAAGTACCCCCATTCCAGGTCTGCCAGCTGGTTGTGTACGGCCCTCCACTTTTCCAGGTTTGCTGGCTGGTCGAGTACCCCCGTTCCATCGCCAGGATTCATTATGTATTTACGTATTCAATTATGAAACCTGTACAGTTTCTTTGGTCATGGCAGCTAAGTTTACAATATTAAACAGTGTATGAGTTTGGAAGCACTACAAGGTTGTCAATAATAATAATATTAGGTTGTAAATTTTGAGAGCTCATATACGTATTGTTTAATAAATGCAAACTGTCACTATGCTTGAGGAAAGATGTACGAGTTTCGTAAAGGGGACACGTAAGTGCTCAGTGGATCTTAGCTCTGGTCTGACAGCTGGTGTGGGTACTTCGTTTTCTAAGTGTACCAGCTGGTTGTGTATCAATACCCGCATACTGTACCTATAATGATAATTTTACCCATTAATGTCTAAATATTTTAAAATGAGGTATTATATACACCAAGACTAAATATCTTGTACAAACAAAATGCATGTTATGATGCACAGTAAGAGAGTGCAACTTATTGCCTTTTAAAATGACTGCATCAAATTTAATATTTATGTATCCACAATGTTGCTATGTGCCATGATAATATTTTAGTATATACTTAATTTTATTTAAAATTTGATGCTTTTGACCAAATTAAACAATGATCACCTAAATTATGAGGTTGTGCAGGATTCATAATTTTTGTATTCTTTGAATAAATAAATGATCCACAAACCATACAGTATGGTAAATACTTGATATCTCGGAAAAATAATGACCATTTCATGATTAGTACAGTGTCACCTGAGCGTGTCATGCATGCCTCAAATTACGGGAATGTGCATCCCAGTTTGAGAACCTAGATAATACTTTAATACACCCAGAAATAACATTGTTGATTCTTTAAATAAATAATTTAATTTTTGAATATCTATTTCCTTGATTTGTAGTATGTTATTTTACTGTATTAGTTTTATACAGTACAGTGTAACTACTTTTCTTTTAAGACTATATATTTATGCAGTACTAGTACTTCTTGTCATGCTTACCTAGTAGTGTCGACAGAATGTGCGGTGCAGCACTAGGGTCCCACCTCCTAGCTAATGCACATGTTGCAACTATACCTTCCAACATTTCAGTACTGTTATGCTTGTCTTTAAAGCCATGAATGTAGGAGGTGGCTTTTGAACTTCTTCCTCCATCACTGTATAAGAGTATTGACTCCTCTCTCATCTTTGGCAACTACTGTAGTTGTGTAGCAAATCTTTGAACTATATTAGTTTCCTCTTTTTGTTTCACTAAGTGTGGACTCAATGCTGGTATTGCATATTCTTAAACTAGTGTATTTTATACTATGTAGTTTATTTAGAAATATTACTCTTAAACTCCTGAATGCCATCCTTGCACTCATTAGTTTCATAGTTTCATATATTGTGGTAATGTTACTCTGTTTACAGTGCAGTGTTCACGTGATGTTTAAGCTGGTGTTATGTCCAGACCTAGATCTTTTTTTCTTTTGATGCTCATGACTGCTCTCCTAATATCTGTACTGTTCTTCAGTAGTCATTTGACTGTCCATAACTGCTTTTGTTTATAACTGATTTTTGTCAAGACACATCTGTCTTTTTGGTTTAACCTTATAACCTGGTTCTTTCTTGAGGTTATCTTGAGATGATTTCGGGGCTTTTTAGTGTCCCCGCGGCCCGGTCCTCGACCAGGCCTCCATCCCCAGGAAGCAGCCCGTGACAGCTGACTAACACCCAGGTACCTATTTTACTGCTAGGTAACAGGGGCATAGAGTGAAAGAAACTCTGCCCATTGTTTCTCGCCGGTGCCCGGGATCGAACCCGGTACCACAGGATCACAAGTCCAGCGTGCTGTCCGCTCGGCCGACTGGCTCCCTACTGCTCTTTACTGCTGATTTTTTTCTCTAGCTAGAGTCCACAGAGCATCATCATTCATGGTTGTACTTGGAAAAGGTGTAGGCTTATCTAGTCTTTAAGTTGTGGTAAAGAGATCACAGTAGTAATTTGCTTTTATATTTTTTTGTTTTTGTAGTAATTTTACTCAATCAAATTTTTCAGGTGATCTTCAGAGAAGACTGTGCTGCAGATGAATTGATAGATATTATTTCTGGTAATCGTGTGTACATGCCTTGCCTCTATGTGTACAACAAAATTGATCAGGTGTCCATTGAGGAAGTCGACAGAATTGCTCACCAAGACCATTGTGTTGTTGTCAGGTATAGTGCAGAATTATTTATTACATTGTTTCATTCTAATTTAGTTATATGCATGATAATTTTCTATTTGCCACTGTCTGATGCTAATCAAATGACATGCACAATTCTGCTTTAGCCATTTTGCTTTTTGATGTAGTTGACCTTATGATATCTAGACTTGTTTAGGGAGAGGCCTGCTGGATATATATCCTATGTTTGTACTACTGAAGGTATTCTTCACTGTATTATGAAATATGTATTTTGTGTTGTCCATTTAATAGTACAGTACTGCAGTGTATCATAATATTACTCGGCCTTCTTTTGAGTTGTCCTTGTCCACAATTAGCACGAGGGACTGCTAAGCAATGTTGTATTTGTTACTATGTCTAAATTGATGTAATAAGGTTGATATTAAGTTTTATTTGGGTTTTGGTTTATTATTATAGGCAAACAAGATACAGCAATGTTAATGTTCGTATGTTGTCAACACTACAGGTCACTTGACCTGGTGTTGTCAGTGGGAGGCGATTTGTGACATCGTGGCATCAGCAAGCCCTCCTGCAATTGGGCATTACATTATTACTTAGTTGTTTTGATATCGGTGTGTGGACCCTCTTCCTCTGTACTCATTTAAGGTTTCGTGTATTTGAAGACTTGTAAACAGGATTGAGCCAGAGAGCAGTGACAATCTGAGGCAGGTATATCAAAGAAGCACCCACTCCTTGCTGTGAACTAGTTCAGCACAGAAGATTTTTGTGAAGACTGATAAAATCAAAGTTGCATGGTAGAGCAAACCTGAGGTTAATGTCTGTGTTGCATTGGTTGATGTGTGACACATTCGACGACCCATTTTTTGGCCGTCTTGGGTTCAGGAATGAGTTGTCTAGAGTCTGGGAGCAATATCAATAATATGACATATTGAGTACTTTACTGGACATTGACAAGTGGTCAAGCTCATGGTGATGGGGTAGAAGACCTATCATTGCTGTTAATTGCAGTTTTTTCTTAATTTGTATCGTGACAGTGGTCTTCATCCTGACAAGATACAGGCAGTGGAACTGGACATGCATTGTTCATAGAAGAGAAGATACCTCAGTGGTACCAGGAAGCAAACTGTCCTTTGAGCACCCTTGGAATCTACAAATAATTCTGTTTTCATTTTCACACTATATTCATAGGGTGACAATTACTACTCAGTTTAAAATAAATATTATGGAACTACTTACACCAAAATAACTTACTCGATAATAAAAATATTCGCAATTTGAACACTACTGTAGGCATTGTTGAGAACATAATGGTTCTGTCTTCACCTGGTGCCCTTGTTACACACGCCTGATGGGTTCCATGTCTCATCCTAGTGTTTTTTTTATTGTGTAGGAGGTCTCTTGCTGGCACACTAAGTGTTACTCATCTCTCGTTTCTGTCTTGGGCGGTATACAAAATATTTTTGACTCGTATACTCACTTCAGTAAGATTTAAGTCCAGTGTGTTTAATAACTTCTGCTCTGTTGAGTCGCGGTTGAAATCTTGTTTGGTTTGTAACTGCACTGTGTTAGATAGTTCCAATGGTTTAATGGGCATTTCTCCACTGCTGACATTTCCAATCATATTCTGGAAGGTGTAAGCCTATTTACTATGTGCATGGGTATCCAAGCCTGATGCAGTGTAAGTTCACTTCTGTTTTTCTTTTCTCCCTTTCATCAAAATATGTGGTTCATTGTTGGTTGAATCCTTGTATCACCCTGCATATCCTGATTTTTGCAGCTGCTGTGTTGTGATTACTGTACAGCTTCTGTATTGCTCCATAAAATTATTTGCTTAATCTGTACTTGACTCCTCCTATGTGCTGTAGCACCCATGTCTTCTTCAAACCTTTTTTTTTTTTTTTTTTTCCCAGCTTGAAGGGTGCACTTTGGTTTTTCTGTTCTCCAAGCTTTGAAGGTAGTATAGACTCAATCTCTGATCCATTAGCTTCTACTGCTGAGCTGTTTTTGTCGTCTAGGAAGTTTGGTTTGCCTCTCTTGTTGACTCTTGAAGGGAGCTGGTCGGCCGAGCGGACAGCACACTGGACTTGTGATCCTGTGGTCCCTGGTTCGCTCCCAGGCGCCGGCGAGAAACAATGGGCAGAGTTTCTTTCACCCTATGCCCCTGTTACCTAGCAGTAAAATAGGTACCTGGGTGTTAGTCAGCTGTCACGGGCTGCTTCCTGGGGGTGGAGGCCTGGTCGAAGACCGGTCCACGGGGACACTAAAGCCCCGAAATCATCTCAAGATAACCCTTATAGTTGTGGGGTTCTTTGGCCCAGGCAGATGTGTGTGTTTTGGCATCTGCAACTTCTTTCCAAATACTTGGGTGTTCCTGTGGATTGTTAGTTGCAGGTTGGTCCAGGTGTTCTGCCGACACTGGGGCTATGTATTTTTGTTCCCTTTGAGTTTTTGCTTAGTCATTGATAAACATTAACAGTTTTCTCAAATTGATAATATTGATGCCTAACCCTATAGATTTGTGGCTCTGACTAGATGTATCTTCTACTTTCATGTACCATTTTAGGCTGGATTCCTCCACTCCTCTGCAGGTTCATTTCCAGGTCCCTGGGGCCAGATTCACGAAGCAGTTACGCATGTACTTACGAACGGTACATATTTCCTCAATCTTTGACGGTTTTGATTACATTTTATTAAATAGTTTACAAGCATAAAAACTTTCCAATCAACTGTTGTTGGTGTTATAAACAGCCTCCTGGTGCTTCGGAGCTCATTACTGTTTAATAATTGTAAACAAAGCTGCCAAAGATTGAGAAAAGATGTACAGGTTCATAAGTGCTTGCGTAACTGCATTGTGAATCTGGTTCCTGGATCCTGGCTTGGTTCCATCCATTCTGCAGGATAGATTTTCCTGCTATGTTGCTGCAGTGGTGCCTGCTTCAAATCTGGCTATAATGCAAAGGCGGTGTGTTTATCAGACTTTATTTTTTATCAGGGTTCTGCTTATTATGTCTTGCCTTTTGGCTCTCCAACATCTTAGTTTTGGGGGTCCCTTGTTGTCCATTGTTTTCCCTTTCCCTGCTGGGTTCAATTTCTTTACTACTTTTGCTGGTACCCAGGCTTCCCTGCAGTGGTGAGGGGCCTAATGTGGTTTCCTGTAAATTCTATGTAGTCCAACCCAGGGTTTGGGTTTTATCCCCTTGCCTTTGGAGGTCGAATGTGGTTATGATATTCTGTTGCCATCCATCACTGTTTGACATGTCTCCGAGAGGCTTGAGGAGTGGAATTCAAATGTTATTGTGATTGTGTTTAAGAGAGGCATAATTGTTGATTTTTGCTGCTACCACTTGGGGTGACATTTGATTCTGTTGGCGACAGTTAGCATTTACCAGGTCCAGGCAACTGTTTTGAAAGTCAGAGGGCCTTGGTAAACATTACATGATATGGATTTTTTTTTTCTTTCTTGGGCACCTAAACCGAGGTTTCACTTCATAACAAATCTGGATAGGGCCAAAATGGTATTATGCTGGTTTTCGAGGATGCACTGTTTATCTAATTACAATGCTATAGGAGTATGTAGATGTGGGGTACATGGGAATTAGAAAAGAAAATCTTGGTAACCCATCACGAGAAATTACAAAATATTCTTAAAAAAAAAATAATCCTGTAGTCTAACATGTCCAGGTTTTGTTAAGGAATGTATGGAACTTTATAACTCTTAAGTGAGAAACTGGATAACATTAACACAGAAGAGTGTAAATGCTTTTTAAGACTAGGAACAAAGTGGAGACAGCACATTTGAACAAGTAATATGCGTTGTGTATGAAGAAAAATAAAGTTAATCCCAGGAATTAGAAACATCCTCTTTGAAATTATTTATATTAATCTTTCCACTGTGCATCACAGAGCTAATAATCCACAAAACGTGCATAATGGCTGGAGGCATTTCATAGTACCGCGTAAGATTTAAAAGTCCTGAACAAACACGTGGCTTACATTTACTTCCTCAGGCCTCTTGTAACCATCCCCCTTCTTCAAAAACCCCCCCAGAGTTGCTTGGTTTCCTTCCAGGGCCTTAGTAAATAGACGAGGACACATCTGGTACCACCAGCCTGTGTCTGGTTGTGCAGGGTGGCTCTACCAGCAACCACTCGGCTTTTAACAGCAGCAAATGAGTGATTACCATGTATAGTTACAGGAAAAATGTGTGCTATGTGCAATTCAAAGATTTAGGCTTTTATATAGTGTACAGTACAGGTATTAGTAAGAATAAGTACATTGCATGCGTATATTTATGCACATGTATCTGTGTATATACAGTACAGTACTTATATTTTCCGTTATACATAATGAACACCACCTTTTTACACATCAATCTAATCTGTTCAAAACATAAATAAAATGAGAAACAATGAAAATAAATCAACAAAGTTATTCCCATGTTAATATTCCTTATTTCTTACCGCATTTCTACCCAAAAACACAACTTTTTCGGGCCACTACAGCTAAACCACAGTTGGTATAGACTTTGATTTTTGTGCTTCTTGGATGCTAATTAGCAATGTCCAAAGAATTTTTTTTTTCTCCATAGGGTTTTCTGTCAGCATTTAACAGGTAAGCAGTGCAGGGGTTAAGAATGCTCAATTTACATTTTCTAGGGAAATATGAGCGGTAAGGAACTACATGATTTAAGTATAGAAATGAAAGAAAGAGCATAATAAAGAAGATATAAATAAGATGTTAAATATATCAACACAGTAGAATGCAAAACAAAAAAGACAAATGGGCGAAGTTTACATTCTGAAAAGACCTGGGTAAATACTGGAACGGAAATAAGGTTGCTCATTTTTTAAACTAATTCAACTGGATAACATAATTTAAAAATAATTTAATAATTTTAATACAGTAATTTTGTTGGGGACAGGTATCCTGTGAACCACAGGGTTCAGTTCTTGCACCAGTAATGTTCATATCTTCATAAACGATCTACCAGAAGGAATACAGAATTACTGTACTGTATATGAACATGTTTGCAGAGGATTCGAGCGTCAAGAGGAAAATGGAATTCAGTGTGAACAAATGCCCCGGGTTATGGAAGTTGGAATCGGAGAAAATAGACCACACACAACTTAAAAATTATGTGGAAAGGAATTACAGAACTCTAATAAAGAACGAGACTTAGGGGGAGTTTTGGATAGTAAGATGTCATCAGAGGAACACACAAAGAACATTGTAAGAGGAACGTATGCGTCACTTTCCAACTTCAAACTTGCTTTTAATTATATGTATGGTGAAATACTAAAGAAACTGTTCATGAAATTTGTGAAACAAAAATTAAAATATGCAGCACTTGTATGGTGCCCAAATCTCAAGAAGCACATAAATAAACTGGAAAAGGTGCAAAGGCATGCTTCAAAATGACTTCCAGAACTGAAAAACAAGAGTTTACAAGAGAAACTAAAGGCATTAAACAGGCCAAAACTAGAAGATAGAAGAAAAAGAAGCGATAGGATCACCACTTACAAAATATTAACAGGAATCTACCAAATTGACAAAGAGGAATTCCTGAAAATATTAACTTCACAAACAAGAGGACACAAATTCATCCTAAGGAAACAAAGGGGCTGAAAAAATACTAAAAAGTTTTGAGGCCATGCTCAACTAGTGATAACTTGGTCCAGCAGGCTGTTGCTTGGAGTGGCCCGCAGGCCCACCACAGCCTGGTTGGTCTGGTACTTTTTTTTTTTTTTTTTTTTTTTTTGAGATATATACAAGAGTTGTTACATTCTTGTACAGCCACTAGTACGCGTAGCGTTTCGGGCAAGTCCTTAATCCTATGGTCCCTGGAATACGATCCCTGCCGCGAAGAATCGTTTTTTCATCCAAGTACTGTACACATTTTACTGTTGCGTTAAACAGAGGCTACAGTTAAGGAATTGCGCCCAGTAAATCCTCCCCGGCCAGGATACGAACCCATGACATAACGCTCGCGGAACGCCAGGCGAGTGTCTTACCACTACACCACGGAGACTTCTTGCAAGAACTTGTCTAAGTGTATCTTGAAGACAGGCAACTGAATGATGATGTAAATGTTTTACTATATTTTTTTTTGTAATATTAAAAACATACTAGAGGCCTGAATTTGCATAGTAAAATATTGAGTGAATATTATGGAACAAAATGCAGATTAGCGCCAGTGAAGAACAGAGATGCCATTGGCACATCAGAACACAACCGGGCTGTGGTGGATATGTGGGCTTGCGGGCTGCTCCAAGCAATAGCCTGTTGGACCAAGCTCTCGCAAGTCAAGCCAGGCCCTGGGCTGGGCTTGGGAAGTTCATAGAACACCTCCCAGAACTCCATCAAGGTACACATAAACTTACATGAATTTTTGTTATTAAAAGCATGCAAACTTGCGTAAACAAAGTATCAAAACTGTGCATAATTGTGGCAAAATAATAATGAAAACTGCAAATGTGTGGTTGTAGCTGAAGTCTGCTTTGGAGCAAACAGTTCTGGTAATCCAGACATCATTATTTATTAGTAATAATTAGGTGAATTTATGGTTTTTATATTTTGTTTTGATTAATATTTTGTTAATAGTACAATACAATTTTTTTTCCAAAATTTATTTTCAGTTGTAATATGAAACTAAACTTGGATTACCTTCTGGATCGGGTATGGCAGGAGCTCTCTCTACTTCGTATATACACTAAGAAACCTGGTAGAGCTCCAGATTTTTCTGACCCGATCATTCTTCGTGGCGGAGCTTCAGTAGAGCACGTCTGTCACTCAATTCATCGATCTATTGTGGCTGTCTTCAAATATGCATTAGTTTGGGTAAGTCTGAAGAACATACTCACTTCCTTTTAATGTATACAGTAGTAATTAATATTGAGTTGAAAAGATCATAAGTGACCATTAGATGTAAATTACAGTGGTTCCTCGGAATACGACTGTCCCTGTGTACGAGTTTTTCGGAACACGAGCAGGATTTGCTCGGAAAATTTGCCTCGGAAGACGAGGGTGTTGATACGCGTACAGGCCGACTAGCACGTGGTAGTACAGCGATCGCGCCTCGGTTTACCAGTGCCTCACACCCAGTGACTATCCTGCCTGAATTCTCCACAAGGATTTACAGTTTTTTGTCAGATTTTTGGCCATTTGTGCATAAAAATTATTATATATCTCGCCATGGGTCCCAAGAAAGCCAGTGGTAAGGTTCAACCTAAGAAAATAGTTGTTAGTAGAGGCAGTAGAGGATGTCCCTTCTTCATTAAGAAAATGTGTGATGTATGGGAAGAACTGCAAAGTTTTGTTGAGAAAACTCGCCCAGATAAAGCTGTAGCAGGCCGTTGCATTGACCTTTTAAATGACAATGTGATGATGTCTTACTACAGATAAGTGTTAAAATGTAGGGAAAAACAAGTGTCTTTATACAGATTCTTAGACTAGCAAGCTGTGAGCCACAAGCAGGACCTAGTGGTATGCAGGCAAAACGTGCCAGAGAGTGCACACCCGTGAAGTCCTCACTGCCTGATGTTATAATTGAAGGGGACTCCCCTTCCATACAGTAACACCTCTCCTCCTCCCTCCTCCTCACAATCTTCCATACGCCAACAGCAGTCATGAGCACAGGTAAGTAATAACTTGAACATAGTTTTGTAGGTTTATTTAGATGAATTAGGTATAAAATTTAGTTTGAAGTGAGGTTTTTGGGTAGTCGGGAACGGATTAATTCATTTCCCATTATTTCTTATGGGGAAATTAGCTTCAGATTACGAGTTTTCGCAATACGAGCTGTCTCCAGGAATGGATTAAACTCTTAAACCGAGGTACTCCTGTATATTATGACATAATGTACATTTATTTGTATTGATAACCAGTGGTTAAAAACAAGATTTACATACCTGATTACAGACAACCCTAGATTCATTTGGCATATGGGATGGTTATTTCAAATTCAATGAGTAGCAGAATTATGACATCAGGAAAATACTTGTAATATTTTAACAAATCATGTTCACTGTGCATAACAATAATTAATATTGTTTGTGTACCACATACAAGTATAACATGATGGGAGAGTACTGTACAATATATTAAACAATTCTACACTGCAGTATAAAACTTTTATATAGTAACTTTAATACAGTACATACTCTTCAGGAATAGTGAGCAGCAGCAGCGATGACTCAGGATTTACTGTACATAATATTTCTTGAAGACTGTATATACAGTATTTTACTGTTCTATTTCAATTTTATACATTACAATACACTATAATACAGTAACTGTTTAAAATGAATGCACTGCAACATTATCTACTGTATCACTCACTACTAAAATGCTGTAAGTATAGGCATCCACTGCTGGCAACAAAGACTTCAATACCTGTTTTTGGGCCCAGTGTCCGTGTCTGTATGCCCTGCTTGCTCCCACGCCTTTGACCCTTGGTTTTTGGTCAGTTTTCTGTCTGTTTTAGCCAGGGGATTCTGTCTGGGTCATGTGTGTTGCTCTTCCTTTCTGTGGTGCGTTTTCCGCCGGCAAATGTGGTGGGTAGGGCTACCCTCGGGTTCGTTTCCGGGTTCCTATGGGTTATTCAATTTCATTCTGGAGGTTTTCTTCCTCTCTGGTTTCCCCTTTGGAGGTTCGGATGTGGGAAAAATACCATGATTGATAAAAGAGGAGAATTACATAGGACTTGGAAATTAAGTGCTGTATATATTTCATTAAAATGCAAAAATAAAAAGTGCAAATTCTTATCTAAGGGCAAGGATCCTATGGGTTGTAAGGCCCAATCCTCTCGTCCTTAATACTGGTAATGGGCTGTAGCAGGTAGGGTTCTCAAGGCTGAGCTAGGTCATTGGTAACAGAGCCACAATATACCTGTGGGTATTTCAACACATTTAGCTTGTATTTTATACAAGGATATGATGATAAACTACAGTTCTATGACTGTAAAAACTTGTACAGTTCGAGATCAAGGATCTGAACAAGATACACTATCTAACCTAGCTCAAGAAATATTATAGCAGCCAATAATCAAATGCTAATAAACACAAGTGGTATTATACACACACAAACTACTAACTGATTCACCAGTGGAAACTCCCTGGATACTTAGGGAGTTCCTAATCTATAATATGACACAGAATTCAACTATAAGAACTCGTATAAAGGGTAGTGAGGACGAGCTCGTGCACAAAGAGACTCACCACGTTTCCACCATCATTAATCACATCCTAGCTACTGCTACAAGTATCCATCCTACAGCAAACGTTACTAGGAACATAATTAACATCAAAGCTGCTATATCATCATCAAAATACAGAGCCTGGTCTCGTCTCAACAAGAGGCATCATCTGGCAACTGTCAGAAAGGCTCTGGTTCTCAATTCAGGAAAAGTTATTGATTGTTTTAGAGCGTAGATTGGATAATTCCATGCTGTATAGCATTAATAAGTCCACATATAAATTGAGTCATTAGGCAGGGAGGCAACACCTTGTCAACAGTAAGTTTGATTTAACCTTTCCAGTGACTGAACCTCTTCTATTGTTGAATCCTTCATGTATATATTTTGTTTGCATATTTGCATGTATATTATACGTGTATAATACCACTTGTGTTTATTAGCATTTGATTATTGGCTGTTGCAATATTTCTTGAGCTAGGTTAGATAGTGTATCTTGCCATTATCTGTGCGCCTCGGCTTCTGTGGTCAGGGATGCGCTTTGGGGTGATCTGGTTTCCCTCGTTCCCTGTTCCTGGGTTAGGGTCTCCCAGGTCGTTCACAGAGTTATTAAGTCTAGCCAGCCTGCTGTCTACCCTCGTGCCCATGACGTTCGTAAGTTTGCTGCTTTGGCTGGCGTGTTTGGCAACGTGTCTTGGGCTGACATTCGGGCGCGAGGGTTTTGAAGGTCAAACAGGGTCCTGGCTGCCCATTAATATGGTGAATATTCCTGGTCCCGGTCATTCGTGTGTGGCTTTGGGTCCTAGGTTGCAGCCAGTTATCTCGACTTCGAGTTGATGTGCACATGGCAGTCGCATCCCGGTTAAGTCCCTCTTTTACTTATCTTTGGTTAGCCGAAGGGGCCGAAGGGGCTCCCCACAGAAAACCAGCATTGAATGTAATGAAATGGCATTTTCTGGGTGAGCCCTGGAGGCTACCTGGCACCCTCCCTCCGGTCGGCAGGTTTTGCTTTTGATGCTCAGCCTTCGAACTGAAGGTGCAAGTAGCTGGCATGGAGGGGGAAGTGGTGCGAAGGCTCCCTCTTCCCGGGAAGGGAATGGTTGCGCAGACAAGCGGTGATGGTGTATGACGTTTGCTAGTTTGCTTGTTTAGGTTTGGGGGAGTTCTGCCTCTGTTCGGTCTTTGGTTGCAATTTCTTACCACATGGGGTCTGTTTTGTTATGCTTACCTTTCTGGATACCTAACCCCAGTCAATGGCAGACATGGAATGCTCCCAAACAGATAGGGGTTTCCATAGGCCATTGCTCCCTGTGCCTCTGAGGGGGCCAGGTTCTGGCTTATGGTCCTCGGTAGGCTGAACTCCATTGACTGATGCCCCCAGACTAATATAGAGTATATTAGTTTGATAGCTCAAGGGAGGCTCCAGGAGTCACCCAAAAAAGGGCTCTTCATTACAGTCAACACTGGGTTTTCTCTTTTAGTAAAACTCGCTACATCTTGTTCTGTGGTAGACTTAATATTTCCTTCAACTTTCTCAGATTCAAGAAATGTTGTCCAGAGATCCCAAACTCCTTGTAAATTTTCCTTCTTCCAATACCACTTTCCAATACTTTTCATTACATTAAGCTTGTCACTGACACAGAGGTTCTTGTATTTCCTCATTGAAACATTTTTATCTTGCATAGGCGCCATTATTTTATGATAAAATGACGCATTTTTAGGAGCTGCGGTAAGTTTGTAGCACAGATAACATTAAAATAAACAATTGGTTTACTAATGTTTTTCATCCATGCCATGCTGAATTAATCCTAATTGGTGCTTTTCCCTGATAATTCCTCTTCCTTATTGTCAAATGTTGTATTAGCATGGGTTGTCATTACTAGTAATAAATATAAATATACAGTATATGATTATGATAAAGGCTTTTCATTGTTATATAAATATTGTATTATATACTACATTTTCTTATATATAAAATTATCATCTACTTTGTGTTTTTCAGGGTAAGAGTACAAAATTCAATCCCCAACGAGTTGGTATTCATCATATCATGAGTGATGAAGATGTCATTCAAATTGTTTCCAAAAAGTAAATTATTATATTGTTATTTCCAAGTATTGTTAAGTTACTTCTACAGTATATATCATGCACTTGGCTGCGCTATATAGAAACATCAGAAAAAATATGGAGTCATTGCATTTGCACACTCAATTGTCATGTCAACCACTTTTTTTTTTCTTCTAACAAAACGACTTGATTCAATTTTGAATTCTACGACGTTACATTGAAAGTTTAGAAGACATTTATGGTATTTGAAGGAAATTAGTGATTAAGCAGTGAACATTGCAGTTATCAGGTCTCTGCTGCCAATGATACAGTTGTGCCATTAAACAAAAGGCACTGATTATTTAAACTGTTGACAGTTGTGATGAATTTTGTATTCATATTAAATTATTAATTGAGAAGAGTTGAAGTTTTTATATTTTGGTAAAATTTAAGGAACTAATTTTTTCATAACTTTTTGCTTGTTTTTACTACTCATCTTCCATCAAGTCGTCTTGTTTTCAATAAGCCATTGAGGGATGAAATTAAATTAAGTCTTTTAACGGGGATATTTGAGTATTTTAAACTTCAAGTACTCACTGCAAAGATAAAAAAAAACATAGCTATTTTGAGGAGGGGGGGGGGGAAACAATTTGTGATGTATTCAAGAAATTTTCTGAAGATCTAAGGGCTGGAAAATTTTGATAAGAGCAACAGAATTTGAGCTTCGTCATGTGCTGGTGTGAATCCTTTTTTATAGCATTAACGGACCTTAATAAAGAATTTTTACTTGAGACCGTATTATCTTAACCTGTTGCTTTCAAGCTTTATTTGTATCTACAATATATAACACACTGTCCACATGTACAGCTGTACAGAAATGCATATACCTGTACTGATACATTATCATTACCCCATATTTTCATTGGGTGGGAAGACATTGGCTTGGAGGAAAGGGTGAATGGTTAAATATAGTGAATGGGTGAAATATAGTGAATGGTTAGAAATGTTCAAATAACAATTTGTTACATTATTCACACAATACCATCACAGATAAACAGTCGCCAACACACTGAAGGAGATTCTATGCACCACTTACCATATTATATATCTGTCACTTAACAATTGTAGTATGTCATGTTAACCCATGCAGGTTTATAATATTCTATCTACATGGAAAATAATGAAAAAATTCAGTTATATTGAAGAGGGTAGTCATGTCTGCCTCCAGCCATGCTTCTTAACACGCTTCAATACTAACCTAAAAGAAACAGCTTGGTAAATGTAATCAAATAAAAAAATATTTTGTTTAATGTTATTGTTCATTATTAGTATTCATTTAGCACATGTAAATAATGCATCTCTTCTGAAAATGTGTAAAGCTCTGATTAATGATTACCAAAATGTCATGGTGAGCTTGTGAGGTATGTTCTGCTGTTTCAACGGCACTGGAGCTTTGAAAATAGTGTACTGTAATAGTATCAGAGATAACCAGCTAACAACAATACATATTTGGTATGGCAACAGTTGGAAATACTGTATAAGGATAGCGGTAGTGGGCCTTTTGAATCCCTTACCAAAACAAGAGGCCAATATGACATGCAACTAGAACTGCTTGAATATAATAGAAAAGATGATCGCAATAGCATAAGGAGTGAGGGCTAAAATTTTGGCACATGAGGATTTTTATTCGCAGGGAAATAGTAGGTAACAAAGTACCCTCATTGAGGTGATGAAATGTGAAGAGCAGAAGTGATGGAAATGGCAAATGATCAATCTGCAGGTAACATTACCTGGAACTGACAATGCTAAACCAGGTGCTTATCCAACCTGAAATGAAACTCCAGTAACATTATCTATTATTGTTTACCCAAAATATGTCTGATGTTAAGATAGACAATGAGGGGTCCCCAGTATGTTATTAATTAATACCACATAGTAAAACTGAAAGAAGGGCTCAGACCCTTAAACTGGTTTATAAAAATTAGTCTATAGACAGAGGAACCTCAAGATGATGATGGGTCAACCAACAAGATGTTACATGGGAGAAAGAATTTTCAATTGAATTTGTGTTCCCACGGTGTCTCAGAGTAGCCCAAATAATCATACAGTAACAATCTACTGACTCATTTGATCACCACCAATTTATCACCTATTTACATCATATATAATTTACCCCTGTGCCTGTTTATTAATTAACTCATTTACATATTATCTTAACATTAGCCAGAGGCTTACATGGCAATAAAACATTGGCAGCAATGCAGGATCAACTGTTTCATTTTCAAGAAGACTTCATTTGTTATAAACAGCCAAACCACTGGTATGTTGCCAAACATTAGTACGTACCTACTAAAATTGTTGAAATAAAACAAATGTGATTAGAAAATGTTAGCAAATACCCCAGTATGTCATACTGGTATTGTATTGTATGCTTTAATTGTACTACAAACCTTTCCTGTTGATATAATGCACCAGGTACTGATATCTATGATAGTACTGATAACTTTGGCAAAAAATTATAGACCAGTTGCACTAATATCACACATAATAAGTTTTTGAAAGTGATTAGGAATAAAATGTCTAGTTTTATGGAAAGTAATGAACTTCACAACCCAGGACAACATGGATTTAGATTGGGAAGATACTTTCTGTCACAGTTACTTAACCACTATGATGCAATTACAGAAGCCTTGGAGGAAAAGCAAAATGCAGATGCTGAATACACAGATTTTGTAAATGCATTCGACAAATGTGACCAAGGAGTGATAGTTCATAAAATGAGATCAATATGAATAACGGGTAAATTGTGGCGTTGGATTTTCAACTTTGTCAAACTGAATGCAGAGAGTAATGGTCAGTCAAGTAAGATCAAGCCCAAGTGCAGTGAAAATCTCTGTACCCCAGGGCACAGTTCTTGCACCGCTGCTATTTCTCATTCTAATCTCTGATATAGACAAACATACTAGTCACAGCTTCGTGTCTTCCTCTGTAGAAAACACTGAAAAACTATAGCCAGGTATAAATAAAGTATTTGATTGGGCAACTGAAAATAACAATGTTTAACAGTGTTAAGTTCCAGGTACTTAGGAATGGTGGAAACGAAGAACTAAAATGAAACAGGATACAGGACACAATCGAACCTATTCATAGAAGGAAAGCAACATGTAAAAAATCTGCCAATTATGATGTCTGACGACCTGACATTTACTGAACATAACCAAGCAAATATAGCAGCGGCCAGGAAAACGATTAGGATGGATTATGAGAATGATCAACTTCAGGGACCCCACAGCAATGCTAATACTATTTAAATCACTGGTGCTGCCCTGACTTGAGTATTGCTTGATACTCACTTTCACTTTCACAGCAGAAGAGATTGCTGAATTAGAGGGAATACAGAGAACATATACAGCCCACATAGAAACGATAAAACATCTGAATTATTGGAGCCATCTCAAAGCTCTCAAAATGTACTCTCTGGAAAGGAGATGAGAAAGATATCAAATAATATAAACATAGAAGATACTGGAGGGCCAGGTCCCAAATTTGCACAGTAGAATAATAACATACTGGAGCAAAAGGTATGGAAGGAAATGCAGAATAGAGCCAATGAGGAGTAGAGGTGCCATAAGCAAAATCAGAGAGCACTGTCTTAACATTAGGGGTCCACGGCTGTTCAACACCCTCTCAGCAAGCATTAGAAATATTGCCGGAACAAAGGTGGATGTATTCAAGAGACAATTGGACAGGTTTTTGCAAGAAGTGCTGGACCAACTAGGCTGTAGTGGATATGTGGGCCTGTGGGCTGCTCCAAGCTACAGTTTGTTGGACCAAGTTATCACAAGTCGAGCCTGGCCTCAGGCCGGGCTCGGAGTCTGAAATCTGTGCATAAATGTTTGAAATAAGAGTTTGAGGGCACTATAACCTGAGGTGAGAGTGACGAAAACCGCATCAATTATAAACAACTAAGCAGGCGAGGGAGAAGCATCTGAGACTGTGTCAATCTAAAAGATATAAGAAATATGTGAAGAATAATATACCTCACATTTTTGAGTTAGGAAAGCACTATTTGTCAAATATAGATACTATTTTTAAAAGAATCCTCTCCTTTGCATCCGCAAGATAACGTAAGTTTCAGGGTTAGTAAATATTAAATCTTCTTGTTTGATAAACTTGTGAAACTCTCCCTTCGGGGCAAAATTGACATAACAACTAGGATGAGACAGTTAAGCAAGTCCCAGCTGTCTGGGTACAAGTGAGGATGAACAACCTAGCGGGTTTACTTCCTATTGGGGAGTGTTGTACATGCTGGCGTTGCCCATGAAACTCTCCCTTCGGGGCAAAATTGACATAACAACTAGGATTCATATCATAGAAGGTTCAGTCCCTGAGCCCATTATGTGCCTCTGTAACCCTTTCCACTACCGCCCACAAGATGGGTATGGGGTGCATAATAAATGAACTAAACTAACTAAACTATCATAGACGCGTTAGTCAGGAAAACTCAGATGTTATACAGCAAATTTACGCTACAGAAATTGAAAAGGTCGGGCAGTGAGTGTACACATAGATGAAAGGAATTAAAAGGTTAATTTTCACAATGTTCTACAATGTTCTCACTATGTTTTCCAATATACACACAATGTTTATACTCACAAAAAAGTTTAAAACTATAAATCAAAGCTAAACAAAATTAAAAATGTATTCAAATTGAAGAAATTCGATTTATAAAATAAGATAGAGAAACACATTTATGGAAATAGGTATTCATATTTGTAGAACAGTATGCTGTTCAGCAGGCCAGCTAACTATTTAACAAACTCGTTGGAAAATGTCAACCGTGGGTTGAATAAGCGCATGAGTGTGTCTAATGTAAAGAGGATCAGCATTGTATAGGCCAACACGGCCTATACTGCAATTCCCTTTCATCAAGTGTTCTGTCTCTCGCCTTCCTCTATATACTGTTAAATTTGTGCCAGGTCTGGTAATAGTGACGTTGTTAAATGGAGTATCCAAGAAGAAAACACGAGGAAAAATAGAGAGAACATGAGGTTGAGGGGAAAGAGGCAGTGAGAGTTTCTTCGTGCCAACACTGCTTTGCTGTAGCCCCTCCCTCCCCCAGCCCTTCCTCCCGCTCCCCACACACTCACACCCACTCCCATATAAGGCCGGAGACACATGCGACACATACACACCCCACACTTTACCCCCTCCATGCTATAAACTCCTGTGGTAGAGAATGTGAATTTGTGGGGCGGCGGCGGCGACGACGTGCCAGAGTCGTTCCTCTTCAAGCTGGGCGGAGGACAGTTTTCCCAGCGACAGATTTGTACAGCTTAAACTTTCTTATTGATGGTATAATAATTATTCTCTACTCGTCATTGCCTCATCTGGTGATCTGATCATTGGGGAAGCTCTAGAAGCTTTGTGTTTATGTTCTTTTATAGCTAGAAAATATAACAACTGCCACTGTTGTTTGCTCAATAGTGCACGACTGACGTACAGCTGCTGACGTACAGCTGCTGACGTACAGCTGCTGGCGTACAGCTGCCGAGATGAATTGTTGTTCTCCAAACATATATGTTAGTCACTAACAGTCATTTCGACGATACTTTGAGTAAGCTGGGATGGCACAGAGCACACAAGGCATATAGAAGCTTGAACAGTCCCCAAGCTACATTATATACCACGTGTACGATCCATACCTCACTAAGGGCCGGTGAGGAGGGCACACCCAGCAGCCAGTACCTGGCCTGAGGACAGCATACTCATGTCCACACCTTCCTTCACT